GTTGGGTTCAAGCTGAGTTCAGGCCGGGTTGAAGCTGAGCTAAGGCAGGATTGAAGCTGAGCTAAGGCACGGTTGGGGCTGAGCTAAGGCAGGGTTGTGTTGACGCTGAGCTAAGGCAGGGTTGTGGTGAAGCTGAGCTAAGGCAGGGTTGTGTTGACGCTGAGCTAAGGCAGGGCTGAGCTCAGGCAGGGTTGGGGCTGAGCTTAGGCAGGATTGAAGCTGAGTTAAGGCAGGATTGTGTTGAAGCTGAGCTAAGGCATGGTTGGGGCTGAGCTAAGGCAGGGTTGTTCTGAAGCTGAGCTGAGGCAGGGTTGGGGCTGAGCAAAGGCAGGGTTCAAGCTGAGCTAAGGCAGGGTTGGGGCTGAGCTAAGGCAGGGTTGTTCTGAAGCTGAGCTAAGGCAGGTTTGTGGCTCAGCTAAGGCAGGGTTGTTCTGAAGCTGAGCTAAGGCAGGGTTGGGGCTCAGCTGAGGCAGGGTTGGGGCTCAGCTCAGGCAGGCTTGTTCTGAAGCTGAGCTCAGGCATGGTTGAAGCTGAGCTGTGGCAGGGTTGTGTTGAAGCTGAGCTAAGGCAGGGTTGAAGATGAGTTCAGTCAGGGTTGGGGCTGAGCTCAGGCATGGTTGAAGCTGAGCTAAGGCAGGGTTGAAGCTGAGCTATGGCAGGGTTGTGTTGAAGCTGAGCTCAGGCAGGGTTGGGGCTGAGCTCAGGCAGGGTTGTGTTGAAGCTGAGCTCGGGCAGGGTTGGGGCTCAGCTCAGGCAGGGTTGTGCTGAAGCTGTGCTAAGGCAGGGTTGAAGCTTAGCTCAGGCAGGGTTGAAGCAGAGCTGAGGCTGGGTTGGGGCTGATCTAAGGCATGGTTGGGGCTGAGCTCAGGCAGGGTTGGGGCTGAAGCTGAGCTAAGGCAGGGTTGAAGCTGAGCTGAGGCAGGATTGTGTTGAAGCTGAGCTAAGGCAGAGTTGTGTTGAAGCTGAGCTAAGGCAGGGCTGGGGCTAAGACGGAAAAGGAAGGAGTTCTTTCGCAGTTTGTTGTTGTTGCGGCGGACAGAAGGGCGAGTGTGTGGCCGGCTGCAGCCCCCCCGGAGCAGGCAGAGTGCAGCATGACCCCCGCGGAACAGAATGTGACCTGGCTCATCTCCCTGGGGGTGCTGGAGTCCCCCAAAAAAACCATCTCGGATCCGGAAGAGTTCCTCCTGAGCGCCCTGCGGGACGGGCTGGTTCTCTGTAAACTCATCGAGCGCTTAGTGCCCGGCTCCGTGGACAAGGTCAGAGATACCCCCACCCAGACCCGGGGGCGGCGGGGGGATAGATGGAGGAAATGCAATTAATTTGATTGGTGGGGGTGGTGAGAGACACATTCTGGGTGCGAATGAGCCCTGGGGCTGGAGATAGACCGCAGCTGGGGCGGTATGGGGCAGAGGCGTGGAGTCAATTGGGACTCAACCTCCGGTTCGGGGAGGTGGAGGGGCGAGATTTGGGGCTAAACCTGGGACTGGTGTGGAAGGGAATTGGGGCTAAACCTGTGACTTGGGGGGGTGGAATTGGGGCTAAACCTGGGGAGGTGTGGAGGATAAAGCTCGGACTGGGGGGGGGGTTTGGGGGTAAAACTGGGGCCGGGGGGGAATTGGGGGCTAAAACTGGGACTGATGTCGGTGGGGGGTCAGAGATGGGGTTGGAGGTGGGTGTACGGGAAGGGGTTCGAGGCCCCATTCCCCCAGTGTACTGAGCCACTGAAAGTCCACTGGTCTGTGACAGGTTCCACATTTCAGAGGCAAAGAGGTGACTGGTGAGCCTAGACCCTGATGGAGGGCACTGGATGGAGAAAGGGCTCTTTCCTTAACAAAGGTTGTTGGTCAGTAGGGAGCTGGGATAGTCTCAGGGAAATGTTGCAGACCGTACGTGTAAACCCCATCATGGCACACTTTCTGAAACATGCCAGGAACTGTGAGCATGCTCAAAAATACAACAAATTCTAGTCCCTATCACCACCGGTCTGCCTCCATCCCTCGCCTCCCCGCCTTTATCTGCAGCTCCCCTTAGACCCACATCCAGTCCTGGAGAAGAGTAATACCCGAAATATTGACTGCTCCTTTCCTCCAGATGCTGCCTGGCTTGCTGTGTTCTTCCAGCCTCCTGTTTGTCTATCCTGGTTCTTTTTCTCAAATGACAGTATCAACTTCGACAAAGTGCATCTTCATTGTTGCACTGGGCAAAAAAGGAGCAAAGATTAGTGTTTAATGACTGCGCCAAGTGGCAGGCAGAGTGAGGGCAGCTGTCATTTCTGGTGGTTAATAACTGTCAGTTGAACTGAAACCGCAGCTTGAACAGTTGCTGCATTTGGCAGTTTACAGCGTGTACACCAGATCACAGTGTGTACACCAGACTATGGCGTGCGTGAAATCATGTCAAATGCAGTGGATCAGGATATGTACATTGAAATACAATGCGTACACTGAACCATGGTACGTGCCATGTGCTCTAATTCTAGGCTCACAATCTGGGTTCACAGTAAAAGGTTAAAATTGCTGCTCTGCCTCTCCTACCATCTCCACATCACTAGGCAGCATTCCTGTTTATTTTAATTTAATTATTTTAACAACAGGACCTCGATCAGATCAGATCAGGAGTGGCAGATGGAGTTTAATTTAGATAAATGTGAGGTGCTGCATTTTGGAAAGGCAAAGCAGGACAGGACATATACATTTAATGGTAAGGTCTTTGGGAGTGTTGCTGAACAAAGAGGCCTTGGAGTGCAAGTTCATAGTTCCTTGAAAGTGGAGTCATAGGTAGACAGGATAGTGAAGAAGGCATTTGGTACACTTGCCATTATTGGTCAGTGCATTGCCTATAGGGGTTGGGACATCATGTTGCAACTGTAGAGGACATTGGTTCGGCCACTTTTGGAGTATTGCGTGCAATTCTGATCTCCCTGCTATAGGAAAGATGTGAAACTTGAAAGGGTTCAGAAAAGATTTACAAGGATATTGCCAGGGTTGGAGAGTTAGAACTATAGGGAGAGGCTGAATAGACTGGGGCTATTTTCCCGGCAGTATCGGAGGCTGAGGGGTGACCTTATAGAGGTTTATAAAATCATGAGGGGCGTAGATGGAGTGACTAGCCAAGGTCTTTTCCCTGGGGTGAAGGAGTCCAAAGTGAGAGGGCATTGGTTTAAGGTGAGAGGAGAAAGATTTAAAAGGGACTTATGGGGCAACTTTTTTCACACAGATGGTGGTGCATGCATAGAATGAACTGTTAGAGGAAGTGGTGGAGGCTGGTACAATTATGACATTTAAAAGGTATCTGGATGGGTATATGAATAGGAAGGGTTTAGAGGGATATTAGCCCCAAATGCTGGCAAATGGGACTAGATTAGTTCAGAATATCTGGTTGACATGGATGAGTTGGACTGAAGGGTCTATTTTGGTGCTGTACATCTCTATGACTCTATTTCATTATGAAAAAAATTCTTGTTTGAATTTCATGATCCCGGAAGTTTGGAAAGTGTTGCTGCAACAGTGCGGCGCCCCCTCGGCACTGACCCTCTGACAGTGCGGCACGCCCTCAGCACTGACCCTCCGACGGCTGCGGCGCTCCCTCAGCACTGACCCTCCGACAGTGCGGCACCCCCTCGGCCCTGACCCTCCAACAGTGCGGCGCTCCCTCGGCCCTGACCCTCCAACAGTGCGGCGCTCCCTCAGCACTGACCCTCCGACAGTGCGGCACCCCCTCGGCCCTGACCCTCCGACGGCTGCGGCGCTCCCTCGGCCCTGACCATCCGACAGTGCGGCGCCCCCTCGGCCCTGACCCTCCGACAGTGCGGCGCCCCCTCAGCCCTGACCCTCCCACGGCTGCGGCACTCCCTCAGCCCTGACCCTCCCATGGCTACGGCGCCCCCTCAGAACTTCACTGGAATGTCAGCATTGAATGTGAATGTGTGCTCACATCTCTGGAGTTGGACTTGAACCCATAAGTTCTGAACTCAGAACTGAGGGATCTACCAACATAGCATTGATTGACATCACTATCAATCCTAAATCAGAGCAGCAGGATCTGTTACTGACAACTTGAGATGTGTGTAAATGATTGGGGCCGTGAATTTAATCCTTTACTATAAGCTTGAAGGCTCTGTGATATGTAGTTGAATGGATAATTTAAAAAAAAAGCCTCAACATGTTTTATATCATGGTGTAATTTAGGAAGTGCCAAATTGAAAGAAGTCACTTCTTGCCAACTTGTGTTGGCGCTTGCTCCCGAGTGGGGTTACCCTTTAGAATATCATCTCACAGCTTTCCCCTTCTACTCATCCATGACCCTGTGCCATTGAGCCTTTATCAGCTCCCAGTCTGACAGTACCTTAAAGTTCAATTCTCAGCCTTGTTTTCAGGTCCCTTTGTGACTTCACCCTGCCTAACTCTAAACTTCTCCAGCCACTCATTTTGTTCATTCACTCAAGGGACGTCAGCGTCACTGGCTGGGCCCAGCATTTATTACCTATTCCTAGTTGCCCCTTGAGAGGGTGGTGGTGAGCTGTCTTCTTGAACCGCTGCAGTCCATGTGCTGTGGGTTGACCCACAATTCTAATAGGGAGAGAATTCCAGGATTTTGACCCAGTGACAGTGAAGGAACCGCGATATATTTCCAAGTCAGGATGGTGAGTGGCTTGGAGGGGAACGTGGGGATGGTGGTGTTCCCATGTATCTATTGCCCTTGTCCTTCTAGATGGAAGCGGTCGTGGGTTTGGAAGGTGCTGTCTGAGGATCTTTGGTGAATTTCTGCACTGCATCTTGTAGATAGCACACACTGCTGCTACTGTGCGTCAGTATGTAGGGAGTGGATGCTTGTGGATGTGGTGTCAATCAAGCGGGCTGCTGTTCTGGATGGTGTCAAGCTTCTTGAGTGTTGTTGGGGCTACACTCATCCAGGCAAGTGGGGAGTATTCCATCACACTCCTGACTTGTGTCTTGTAGATTGTGGACAGGCTTTGGGGTGGCAGGAGGTGAGTTACTTGCTGCAGGATTCCTAGCCTGAACTGTTGAGATGTCTGCATTCCTCTGGCCTCTTGTACATCCCTATTTTATTGGTGGCTGTCCCTTAAGTACTGGAAGCCCTTCCTTAAACCTCTCCACAATTTTCTCCTCCTTTAAGAAAGTTTATGTAAAACCTCTCTCTTTGACCAAGCGTTTGGTCACCTGTCATGCTTTCTCTGTGTCATTTCAGTATCTCATTTGGTTTGCTCACATTTCTGTGACACAGCTCATGCTTATTTAAAATGCTGGGTCACTTCTTATTCAACAAGGTCAAAGTAATATTTATGATTCAGGCTTTTGTTGTAACATCTAAGTTGGAAAGAGCCAGTCCCGTCAGAAACCTTTAAAGAACTGAATGCAGTGTATCAGTCTCAGTGATCTGTGGAAAGGAATGCAGTGCTCGTTCATTTCAAACGCAAGCAAAAATGTGTTATAATCTGGCACAAGACAGAATTAAAGGTTTGTAGAATCAATAGGAACTGGCAGGATTTTGTACCAAAACCTGACTATTGATGGTAACTGATGTTATGAGGAAGTTCTGCTTCCTCTGTTCATATTTAATGTTAAATGAAATGTTGGGATCTTCTGCTTTTGTAAAGAATAATGTGCAGATTAACAGGGAACGTTACTTGGTGATTTCCGTGGGTAAAGCAAACTTTACCGTTGTGTACAAGTTAAAAAATGCTTCAGCAACAGCTTGCTGAGGACTTTAATACGAGGGTAACTCTCTCATTAGAGAGAGATGAGTATGGCAGTTTAACCTGAGGGTCACCAAGTCTCAGGTGAGGAGAGAGGTTGAGATGAAGGGACTTCCATGGTAGACTCAGTTGGTGCAGGATTGAACCCACATTGTTGGTGTCAGTCTGCATTGTAAACCAGGCATCCAGCCAACTGATCCCAGAGGCTATAATACTCGGTCAACTTGAATGTATAATGTGCAGAAATACAGGCCCGGGTATTTCGCAGGATGTGTGACAGGTAATAAAAAGTTTTAAAATTCATTCATGGGACGTGGGTGTTGCTGGCTGGTCCAGCATTTATTGCCTGTCCCTAGTTGCCTCTTGAGAAGGTGGTGGTGAGCTGCCTTCTTGAACTGTTGCAGTCCATAGAACATAGAACATAGAACATTACAGCACAGTACAGGCCCTTCAGCCCTCGATGTCGCGCCGACGTGTGAAACCAATCTGAAGCCCATCTAACCTACACTATTCCATTATCATCCATATGTTTATCCAATG